AGGGAGAGAGAGTGTGAGTTGGAGATAATAAATATGGGTAAAATAGTAAATCAACACAAAAAAGTAGAGACAACTTATAAGTGTCTCTTATATATAGGAACATGCCATAAGCATCAAATGTCTCTTATAATAAGGAACGGAGGGAGTAATAAGGAACGGAGGGAGTACATATTTAATACAAATAATTATAATACTTATTTAAAATAAATAACTAATTTAACAATTTTTTAAATTTATTTAAATTAGCCAATGGAGCTATTACATGAACAGCATCAACGTGATACGCGTGTGCGTCTTATCTGTGGCATAAAGTATGAACTTTATCTGCGGGACCGCGGGCTTTGAGATAAAGGCGTACAAACTACAAAGTGAGAATCAAACCAGCCTGGGGCTCTTATTCCACCACACCTCCCATCTGTTTACCATCTGACAAAATGTTTCATTTTTTTTTTAATTACAAACTCTGATCCTAATTATAAAGATTTATTAACTAATTTAAAAAGATTAAAGAAATAAATTGAGTTAGTTATTCGTCTTAAATAGATGTTATTTTTTCTAAAATATCCATACTAATCAAATATATTAGTTAGAACTATTATTATTAGAAAGACTGTTTTAGAAAAAAAAAATATAAATATGAAAAATAAAATGGATTGGGATCTTATATTTAAGATCAAAATAAAAAATCAAATAAGGTTTTATATTAAAAACCGGAAGTAGTATTTACAAAGACAAAAAACAGCCGTCTTTTTAAAAATAAAAAATTAAAAAAGAGAGTAGGGGTGATGGAGTCCTCTTGGCCTCGTTCTCAAGCACGCTCTGCTTCATAAGAATCCATTGCCCCATTTCGCCCGTTGTTTTTTTTTTCTTAATTAGAAAATAAAACACTATCGTAATTATAAATCGCCTGTTGTTTCTTCATTTCTTTTAACTCGAATATATTATGAAAATGTTCATGCAATTCTCAACATCTGGCAAACACGCTAACATGATTAGGAGCTTATTGGGGCCACTGTGTTCCATATCAATATCTCACTTTTCTTTTTCCACCGTTCCCCTCTAGTGTTGGTATCCACTGTCTGCCGGAACGAAGAGATAAAAGGGTAAAGTGGGCCCAGTAAACTAGAGGTCAATATTTATTGAAAATAATAGATTTTTTTTATTAAAAAAAAGCACTGTTATCACGAGGGGGGAAATCTGAGGATGAGATGATAGAAATCTCTGGAGAGGAGGAGAGAGTTAAAGATGTGGTTCTCCGATAAGGAGCCACGTAGTACGCTCATACCAACTCCTCCGGCTACGCTATGAAAAGACCAAGCTATCCCAGTCATAACCACATCCCCATCTGCCGCAATGATCTATTATTAGCACGTTGGTATTTTCGATTAACTATAACTATAATGACGCCGCATGTCCTTCCCCAGGGCATTAAATATATATGATTATTTTTTGACTGCTTACGTGTTAAGGGCATTTTTGAAGGGAGACGGAGTGGAAACAATTATATCCACAAGCCTCTGATTAAAAAAAATTAAACTAGTACAAAATTAATTTTTTAAATTTTTTTGTTCCTTTTTATGCAAAATATTATGGGTAAATTTTCTAAAAATACTATGAACACAGAATTTTCTAAATTTAATCTTCAAGCTTCGTCCGGCTCCCAAAAAAATCTTACATCGTCTTCGAAACTTATTGTTTTTTACCAAATAATTGTAACAGTTCTGCTCGCATCCCAAGCCAAAAGAGAAAATGCCAATGCCTGTAGTTTCAGAAATCAGTAATCTATTGCCACGTCTTACTGGTGCTGTCGCTACTCGCTATATTCCAAAACACATTAAGGGGGTGTTTGGCTTTTTTACCAAACCATGGTTTGGTTTGCCAAACACCTCCATTTTTTTTAAAACCAAGGTTTTGGGCAAAACCTTGGTTTCAGATAATCAGGCGGGGCATAGCTTCTGGGACAATTACTGGGCTTCAGCTCACGGAGGGAACAACACGCAGGGGGGCGATACTTAGGTATCCCTTATTTAAATAATATAAATAATATTATTTATAAAATATTATTTATATTTATAAATAATATAAATAATATTTTTTGGCAAAATAAATCATTTTCCTAAAAACATATTTATTTTATTAATATATACACACTAATTTCTTATTATTTATATTATTTATGCCATATTTATTATGTTGCCAAAATATATATTATTAATAAATTTATTACTTCAAATAAACATATATTATGAAATATATATTATATGTAATTATCATTTAAACTTATGTCCTTTTTAGTAATTTTTACATATCAAAAAGCACTTCTGACAATAATTATCCAAACACTCTCACTTTATCAGAATCACTTTTTCAGAAAATCTATTCTTTCAAAATCTATTCTCTCCAGAATCTATTCTCCAGAAGCTATTCTGCAAACCATGGTTTTGCCTCATCCAAACACCCCCTAAATTCAAGTCATTATAAAATCGCATTAAAAAAATTTTCAAGTCCGAATATCAAAGATCTTTGTACAACAGTGATATTTTATAATATTCTCTCCTGACTATTATATGAATTTAATTGAAAGATTCACCCAACAAATCCTTGACTAAAATGCACGCGGTCCCCCGTAGCTAGTAGGCACATAAAAAGAAAAAATCATAAATAATTTTCGCCAAAAAAGCTAAAAAAACATAAACAATAGAAAAAGACTTGGAGGTGGTTGACAACGTTGAGAAGCATTTTTTATAAGATGAGACAAATTTTTATACGTATTTATTTTATAAACTGTAAAAATATTTTTAAAATTATAATTTGATTTCTATTTAAATAACCCATTGTACCTTCTCAGCCTAACAACCCATAGCAGTCTGTTTTTCACTTTTTCTTCTTTTCTTTTGGACTTTTGAAATAAAAACCCAAAGAAAAAAGCACACCTTCTCTCGAGAGAGCTCGGGTGGGGACAACAAGTAAAGTGTCATTTGTAATTTTTGTTCATAAATTTTGCTTGTATTTAATCAATAATTAGTTCATTATTAATTAATCCAACGAAGACTTCCTTGTTCTTTGTCAATTGTCATTATCACTCACGTACGCACCACTCAAGCCAAGGTCTTTACTTTTGTGACGACTCTAAAGGCAACGTCATCACGGCTATCAAGAGATTGCCATCACAATTTAATTTGTATAAAAATCTTACTTATTGTATTGATTTCAAAGCATTACTTAGAGTAATAATTACGATCAAGAGTTGCGGGTAGTATCCGATAATTTACAGCACATCCATATAAAAGTAATACTCTCTCCGGTACATGATATAAGAACGTTGCTCGGAAAAAAATTGTGATCTAAAATATATAATATCATAATAATTAATCTAAATTTTTTACTATTTTTTATTAAAAAAATTTATGTGAGTTGAGTCCCGAAAGTTTACCAGGACTAGAGCATGCTTCCAGGTTTAGAGAGTGTTTGCAGAGGTATTTATAGATTGTCCATCAACAAGATCCTCATATCGGTAACAAGATTCGAACTCACGATATTGTGGGTTATGAGCCGACTCCTAACCAACTGGACCAACTCTTATTGGTTATAATTTATTTACTTTCACTCTTATTAAATGTAGGAGAGAGATAAGAAATAATAAAAGTTAACATTAAATGTAACTTTGTTTTTTTCATGATAAAATAAGAAAATTATATCATTTTAAGACAAATTTAATGATCAAACTTTTATTCCATGGTGCCTGAATAAATTTAACTAACTTATTATATTATAGTCCACAGGAAATACTTTCTCAGTTCCTCCTGTCATTTTTACAAGACCTTTTAACTAAATTACACCATTTAAGAAAATAATTAGAATTACTTAAGAGCAATAAATATATAAAAATTGAATATTGCTTTTTTAAATATGTGCTTATTTAATAAGGGAGCAAAGAAAATACTACAGTTAATAAGATAAAAGATAACAACAAATAATAAAAAAATTATTAGGGATAAAATTAGTAAAAACACAGTTAATATCCACACACTTCTAAGTATCATCTAATAAAACGAATGAAACTAATTCAACTTTTGTATGTCATACAACGGAGAGGAGGCCAGGCATCTCAGCTCAAAATATGCACTGCTGGCGGGTGAACTTATAAATTGGACACCTTTTTTTTTTTTTGGACCAAGATAAATTAGACACCTTCACTTGTTTGATTTTCACTACTACTACATTAACAACCACATCTTCCATAAAAAGACTGGTGGGGGGCGAAAGGAGCAATTAATTTCCTCTTTATCAGTCCCCTCTAATTAACTTGGAAGCTGCACCAGCCCAACATTAGAAACAAGAAGCTGCCAAGACAATGAACAATAATGACGCAGTCACGAGAGACAATTAAGGCCTGTTTGGATGTATCTTCAAATCTTGGTTTGAAAACCCAAATCATAGTTTGAAAAAAATACCATCCAAACAGTAGCAGAAAATATGAAACCATGATTTGGAGTCAAACCATGGTTTGGAACCCCAAAACCATGGTTTCACCAAAAGCAGTTGGGAGTTGCTTCTGACTTAAATTATTGGAACGTTTGGCGTGGGTCCTATGGCAGATGACAGAACAACCCCCAATAATTGATGCCTTCAGCCTTTCATTCCTCGGTCCTTCGCTCTTCACTCTTCAGAACGCCTTTCTGCTGTACTCTTTCCTCCATCACAAGGATAATTTAATATTATGTTTTATAAATATATATATACACACATATTAATTAATTATTAATTATATTATCTTATATATTATTAATTATGTTAGTAAAAATTATTTTATTAACAATTTTATTTGTTCGAATCAAAATAATGACGCAGACAAGAGAGACAATTAATCGATCATATTCCTCTTTTATCCTACCAAATTAACTCCGCTCTTTCAATTTCTTCACGTACTACCTTTATTCATCATTCTCATCGAATCAAAAATGTAGTCCAGAAAGCAGAAAAATATCGAGCAAAGACCGAAAATGTAAACTACACACTGAGCACTATGTTATTCAAAACAAAGATACATTAGTTTATAGTTCAAAGCATGGTACAAGTCCATGCACGGCGGCGATGCCAGAAAACTCAAGGACACCACTAGACACAAACTAAAGAGACGCATTCATATTTTATTACATTATTTTCTGATAATTTACGCGAAAAAGCGTGGTCCCGTACTGTGACACATTCTACAGGTCAAGCTCTCCACAACCCCCACACAAACTCAATCGTTCGTCACCACACAACATTGCATTTCCCTCACCGAGCTTCAGTTTCAACGGGCAGAATTAGTAGTGGCCTCCTCGTGGCAGCACTTGTAGGTGATGAAAATCTCCATAGTTTTGGGACATTCTGGGCACCTGATTCTCTCCGGCAGCTTCCCGGCAACGTTCGGAATCTCGAGGTGGGAGCAGCGGTGAAGGAGCCTGACCGCCTTCTCGTGGTAATCCCTGAACGACCCCTCGAATCCCTTGCTCTTCACAAGCTCCTTCCACTTCTCGTACTCAGCCACCGTCTTCAAGACGGTGGTTCCATGCCCGGTGAGAATCACCTCAGATCCTTTGCTCAGGAGGGCCCACCCAGTCTCATTCTTATATGACAGCATCTTCTGCACTTCCTTGGTCACGTCATCGTCCTCGGTCTTGTGCACCTTTGTCACGAACAGGCTCTCAATCCCGCTCCAGAATCTGCTAAAGATGTTCTTGTCTTCCTTCTCTACATGGAAAATCTCAATGGAGATCTTTTTCTCCTTCAGCAGGGCATCGTTAGCCATAGCCGTGGCATACTTGGTGAACTGTTGGACCCAATCCTTGTCGTGACCGCCATAAAAGAAGATGTATTTCTCCTCCTTGAACTGTTTCACACAAATTCATCTTCGATAAATACATATGCGCGTGCGAATGTTAAATAACGAATTGAGGTCTGCAAAGCAAGAGAGTATTCATACGTACCCATATAGGAATGCTGGGGTGAATGTGGGTGACGATGTTTTCGACCCACTGGCGACTGTGGTGAATTTCTTCTTCGCGGGTCTTGGTGAAGGGGAAGGCCTTGATTCCCCAAGACTCGACCAAATGGAAAGCGTTGTGGTGCAGAATCTTACCTTGGTGGTTCATGGTCACCACCATGGGCTTCTTTTTGAATTGCCATTCCTCTTTGATGTACTTGAACCCGGCGGCGCTTCCGAAGTGCTCCACCACGAAGAATGGCATCTTGGCTTTCAGATGCTCGAACTTCTTGCGCAGCTGGTCCGTCCATTCCTCCACGATCGGAACCCACACGATCTTGTGCTGATCCGTCTGATTCTTTGTCCTGATGGCCTCGTGGATTTTAAACACAACCGACAGCTCTTCCTCCGTGATGTCCAGTGTGGATATGAACAAGTAAACGTTCTTCTTTCTCAAGACATCAATGCTCACCTGTTAAGGCATTTTAACATTAATAACAACTTCAAAAGACAAGACCTCGGTATTACTTTAATTTAATTAATTTGGAGTTTCTTTTCTTGTTTTTTTTTTACCCCTGCACAGTGTACACATGACGCGCGTACAGGCAGGAAAGGTATCTCGTGTTCCACCCATAAACATTAGTTAACGTTTATTACCCCTGCACAGTGTTGTGCTTCAATTATTGCACCCCGGTCGGGTCAAAGTCATTATCAGTCCGGCCCAGTTTGACACACTCGAATTTCCGAATAATTTGGGAGGGGACTGAGGACATGATTTTTGGGGAGGGGTTTGCCCGATTGACAACAACACGCCTTTTATTCGAACAGAGCACAAAAGAGGGGTCACTATTCACTAACCGTGGTTTTGGAGGCACCATCGTACAGTGGTTTTGGAACATCGTACGAGAAAATGAGGAGCCTGAGCACCTCCATAGTCTCCGTTGGAGTTTGCATAGTCTTCCTGATTTTGTAATAGATTTTCATAACCTCTGTAGCACAAGATATTATATAAATCATCCTCCTTCAAATTCAATCCAACGACAGATATATAGCCACACGAGTTCCCAACCAAAATATTAATTACTAACCTATCTGTTGCCTGCATTCTGCGATCTGCTTCCTCAGCTTGCTGAGAATTATGTTAATCTTCTGACCATAGTGGGACAGTTCTTGCCTGTGCTCCCTGTATTCAGACAAACAGTTATAACCACATCAAACAAATAATATTAAGCACGCCAAACGAATTGATGAGGACAATTTCAAGGGACGGAGAAACTTACGACTCAGTGATGAGGCAATCGATCTGAGTGACGATGGCGACAATGGTGATGATGGCCCAGTAGACATCAAGTGGGATCTGTTCGGTGGCAGTGACCAAAGAGGGGACATCCTTGCTGTCGTACGAGGAGAGCCGCTCGAGCTCGAAGATGAGCTCGATAACTTGCAAGGTGGACTTGGTCAGAGTGTTGAGCTCGACGATGGCCTGGCGGTGCTTCTGCAGGGAGGCGGGTTTGGCGAGTCCCGGAACTCGCTTCAGCATAGCCACTGATTTCGCCAGTAAATCGTTGGGCTGCATCTGAGCAAGAAGCCAGATCTCACCATATTCCATGGCGAAAGCCGCAAGAGTAAGCACCGCTTTTGCGTCCCACTCATAGTGTGATAGCTTGCCCAGAATCGACATTGTGGTCTTGTGAGCCACTTGCTCACCCGGAGGCTTGCATTGCATCTTCCGTTCCAAAAAAAGAATAAAAGTTTAGTAAGATCATGGTGTCTTCAGATGTTCTCTGTTTATTTTCTCTTCGAGTTACAACACCTGATAATTTGTTAAATTCCTTCAATAATTTTAAGCCGTCACAGGATCGAAAGACTCACGTGACTTAAATTTGTCTTTTTACCCTTACCCACTTAGTCCAAAATTGTTTCTTTATCCTAAAATCTCAATCTCCTAGCTATAATCTTTGCATGTGCCAGAGAAGATGAAGGATTCGGGTATGACCTCAGAAGAAATTTGCCTGAGAGTGCAGAGGGGTGAGGAGAAGTTGGCTTGGGTGTTTTTGTCGTCGATGTGTTCCAAGCTTACTTGGGAACCCTGTAAAAAGATTCACCAGTGACAGAAAACATACAGGCAGGAGAAGAAGAAGCTAAGAGCAAGTACAAAAAAAAAAAAAAGAGCGCACGAGAAAGAGATTGAGGAGAAACGAAGAGAAACCTGGACAACAGTGTCAACAATGTGGGTAGAACGAGTGAGGGTGTTGTCAACAAGGGAGAAGAGGGGGCCAACATCGAACCTAGTGTCACTGTGGACATGGGTTGAGATGATCTGCTCCAGGATCTGGTCGTCGGACATGGTGAGAGGGTTGTGCTCACCCTCGCCACCGCCGGGAATGATAGATTTCAGTGAGAACTTAGGAGCCAGTGAGGCCATGATCACAGAGGGAGACTGATTCAGTGGGTATGAGGAGTGTCTCTAGAACTGAGTGCGCCCTTAAGCCGCGTTTCTGACCCTATTTATAACACAATGGATGGAGAGACTTTTGTTTTGGAGTGATGCCAAATTCCGTTACTATCCTTGAGATTATTTTAATTGAATGGTGAAAATTTTGGGCTCGTGGATAAATCCGGAGTCAGATTAGTTGGATAATGGGGCCTTGGGGTCCGGATACGAGGTGTAATAATATCTCCTCGCTTTGGCACAGCATGACATGTGGATTGAAATTGCCGTTCTGAGGTCCCCCTATTTCACTCACGTGATACTTTAAACAGGAGCAACAGTCCATGCTTCAAATCAGAATAATAATATCTCCGGTCAAAAAAAAAAAATCAGAATAATAATATAAATTAATTCAAATAAAATTTAACTTGATCAGTTTATCCGAAATTCGTAATTGGACGGACAAAAAGAGCCCTTCTTGCGTATTCACTACCGTGACGGGTCATCTGAAACGGGGTTTTATGGTTACCGGTAAAACAAACAAAGGCGTCTCTTTCACGCTGGGAAGGTTTAAGCCGGTTCATACTCTGAAATATCCTCTGACACGTTCCCCCGGCAAAACAAGATCGTTTGAGTACGGGCATGTTTGCTTTTTTTAAAAAAAATACTTTCACACAATTCAAATAAAAAATTGTTTTCAAAATTATAATTTAGTTTCTACAATGGAGATTTAACATTTCTCCGAGTTCTAAAATGCATCCAATTTTTTGTCCTCAAATCGTAATGTCTTTTTTACACAAACCTGAGTACATACGGGTTTTGTTTACAGCCATCCATAAACGCCGCCCTGAAGGGCTAGGGCCTAAAAAGGCCAGCTTTTTAAAGCTCACACACTTTAAAATTATCTAATTATTAAAGCTTAGTCTTTAAACATGTGGGTTTAGGATTTAAAAAGGTGAGCCTTTTTGTGTTTTTTTTAAATGTAAATTCTTTTTAATTGTTTTAAAATTAAAAAAACTTCTAAGACTTTTTATTCAAATAATAAATATTAGTAAAATAAACTAATGGTGTATAGAAAAAAAATAAAAATCTAACGAAACAGGAAAAACAGAAAGATAAAAACTTAGCAGCTAAAGATTAACAGCACAGACATCACTATTATTTTTAACTTTGTCTTCATCTTCATTAGTATCATCAAGATCAGTAATATTTGATTGTTCTTCAATACAAGTGAGCTCTTCTTTAGTGATAAAAATATTAAGGTGTTCGTCTTCATCTACCTTATCTATAATAAAACTATTCAGTAGTTATGAGTACAAATAAGAGCCTGGATATTTGTTCGAATAAGAAAAGTTTTACACCTTGTTAAGATATGTAAACCGATAGTAAAAGAAGATTTACTGGCTGTTGTAGTGATTAGAATGCTAAGAATATCTACTGCCATTCTTGAAATAATTGAAAATCGATTTTAATTGTTCTTCCACTAGTTCAAGATATCTAATTATTTTCAATTATCTGGCTTGAATATTGGTTTTTCTAAATATTTTTCTAATTCAAACTTATGTATAAAAGACTAATCCATAACTTTATAAATATATTAATAATATAAAAAAAATAGGCGAGCTTAAAAGGGCCGGCCCTTAGTCCTAACGGGTTGGCCTTTTTATCTTCAAGCCCTATAGAACCAGCTCTTTTAAGTTTAATTTCTTTTTAATCACCTAAAATACAAGCCCGGCCCTTCACTTAAAAAAACTGGTCTGGTGGACTTGGCTTGTTTTGACAGTTCTATTTTCTTTTAACTTTGGGGCTGATAGAGAAATGAGAAAGATCTAGAGTGGTCCCGATGGTTAGCAAGAACTAGGCTGATTATATATAATATGCAGTATTATGGAAATGTTAGTGTTTTGACATTGATAATTAACATGTGGCGGATAACATATGGGGTCCGTTGCAATTGAGAGTTTTGGGATGATAACTAACAATGTGATACGTGAGTCTCGGCTCACTTTTTTGGTTACAGGTTGTGGATCAAAATCTTAGCGAACCTCTGCTTTCAAGAAAACTAATCTCAGTAAACCTGTGTCGTCTAATTAGTATGATTATTTCTACTGTAGTTATAATTATAATTCTAAAAATACACACATGCATGCGTAAGACTAAATATATTTTTCGAAAAAGTGAAAAGATCCTCCCTCGATTATTTTTTTTATAAAATTTAAATAAACGAATTGTATTATTTAAGAAATCTATTGACATCAGTCAAATGTAATAAATATGCCAAGAAAAAACTTTTCTCTCAACATGTCATTATTTACAAGAGGACAACTATGGGAGAGGAATAGTGAAAAAAAGGTGAAAATGTGTAGAAAAAGATAATTCCAAAATGCCTCTTATAGAAAGAACCAATCAATTCAAAAATTTCAATCTTATAATAATTTAGATTTTCCAAGTATTATACCTTTTTTATGAAATTGATGACATAATGTTATACACTTTTCGATTAAATGCTGCTAGTGTTAATAATTTAAAGGAATGAGAAAAATAATTTAAAATCGCATAAAGCTCAATAAAATCAAATGTGCGAACATGTTGAAGCAAAAAAAATTGCTGGCCAACGGCTTCTCGCGTGGCTTCGCGGTCTGGCTTGAGCTAGCTTGACCCAATAAGAAGGCAAAGCTCAAGCCTACATTTAAATGCCACGTTCAGCTGACTAGGCCAGGAATATTTAACCAGAGCTTGGCCCCCCGGACCTATCAAACTAATTAATTTCTTGTTTCTTTAGGAGAAAGAAACATTATACTCCTCCGGTCCTTATTATAAGACTCTATTTGACTTTTTATTTGATCCTAATTATAAGACCCCAATCCATTTTGTCTCTTATATTTATGTATTTTTTTTCAAGATAATCCTTCTAATAATTATAGTTTTAGCCAATATACTTAACTAGCAAGGATATTTTATGAATGACAATACTTATTTATTATAAATAACCAACTTAACTTACTTCCTTAATCTCCTCAAATAAGTCAATTGGGTCTTATAATTAGGATCGGAGGAGTATATCTATAATGTTATATCATGCCGAATATACATATTATTATCTCATTTCTACAAATGATGTTTTATAATTAAGACAGAAGGTAATACTTAATAAAAACAGTATACTATTATATATATACACACATCAAGTTGTAAGCATTTAAAATCATGCACTCAATTTTGAAGCAAAAAAAAAAAGAAAATCATGCACTCGATTATAGCAACTTAATTCATTTTTTTTAATTAGTTGTCTGGCTAATTTGATCTTTACTGATTAACAGTAAGAAGAATTATTTTAAATGCTCTCCTAGGGTAACGCATATCATGTTTTTGTGTCAAGTTTTAAATTATACGCATTAAATGAATCATAGAAAACAATGGCAGCTAATTAACGTGATGATTTCTGCATTCAAGTGGACATGATAGTTAAAAAACAATTTGATGATAAATTTTAAACCTTATAATAATATTTAAAATTTCATATAATTTTTAAAAGCTTGTGCAGTAATCGGATTCGGTAGATATTTCCACAAACCCAGGGTAAATAAAAATATTTGGACCTTTGATTTGTGGAAGAATTACAGGAAAAAAAAACTGGAAATTACAAATCCCAAATTAAGTTTCGTGGTATAACTGCATTTGGTATTGACAAATCTGAATTTGTAAATAATAATAAATTTTTGTTGACATTCTTTATTTAATATTTATAAAATTTCAGTTTTTTTTTTTTGTCATTGTCCTTGATTTATAGAGTGAGTTTTGGGCTCATTTGCTCCCCGACGCCATTTTACCCCTCAATCAAACACCGAAGCAGCTCATTGGGAAGACACACACTTAAGGTAGATATTTTAAGGGAAAAAACAAATCTTTGAACTCTTTAATTTATGCAACTCAAATTTATTTTAAGGTCCATGAATAGAATTTCCATTTTTTAATTTTTAAGGCGGAAAAAAGATTATAATTTTTGGCTTTTGTTTCAGTTTTTTAAAAATGCAGCTGCGCGCACGAGTTTTCACGACCGTCCGTCGCTAAACGACAATGAACTAACAATTATGACTCCAGCGTCTTGCCTCATGTGTGGCTAATCATAGTTCATAGGGGCCTGCTTTTGTATTTGTGATTACCTTTATTCAAAAAAGAAAAAATCATTCGTATGTTTTTGAAAGAGGGCTCATAATGAGAATTACGGGAATTACGGGGTACAAAGCTTCTGTATCTCACAAAAAAATTGTAGCTTCTACGTATCTAATGATTTATATGCGCACTAAGTATACATGAATAACGAGAAAAGTGAAAATTAAATAATTTTCTTTATTCTTAATCCTATTTAGGAACTTTAAATTTGAGAATAGTATGGTCTATTTTTATAAGATTCAACATGGGCACTTGTCTCAACCTTTAGTTAATTTTTTTAATGATGTTCTTAATTATTTTTCTCTTATTATATTTTCTCTTTCTACACATTCTTTTTAATCTTTTTTCTTGTTTATTATAAAGACATATTTAGAAACAAAAAATATTTTTAACTTATTTTTTGTTTTAAAATAATTTTAATTAATTATTTATTATCTGTGAATTAGTTATTTAAAACTTATAATAAGAATATGACAAAATATTTATTATAGTTTATTAAAAACAATTTTCATGCTAAAGACCCATAGGACATGTTTGGAATGCCGAAAAATATTTTTAAAAAATATTTACATATGAATCAAAAATTTTTTTTTCTCACATAAAATATAAATACCGTAAAATAATTTTTTAAATTATAGTTTAATTTTTACTTAAAGAGGCCGTAAACTCAAAAGTAACGTGAAATGCAAATACGAAATATTGGTCCCCATAGGCCCAAAAAAAAGAGGAGGAGGAGTAAGAAATAGATCAGGAATCGAAGATGTGAGTTCGAAGCATTGGATTTTAATAATATACTCTTCCGCTCCTTAATATAGGACCCAATTCTTGAGTTGGTTTTAGTCCTAAAT